GTCTTACAGAACACCAGACATCACTGCTGGGCCCTGCTCATCCGTAAGAACGTTTCCTGTGTCAAAGAGTAAGCAGTTATGAAGGAAAGAAATCAAATGCAATGCAGAAGGGCTTCAGGTGCTTTCCTCAAAGGCAAAACAGAAATCTATAACCCACGAGGTCACTATGTCCCTGAAATCGAAGACCAGTTTTCATTGTTCAAAAAACAGAGTGTGCATAGTTCTGAATGACTACAGTTATTCTAACTTTGAAGCTGGATGTCAGGAAAAAAGTATTATAAAACACAATTTTTTGTTAAGAGACTATCATTATCTTCTAAAATTACATATTTGAAAGGATATAAAAGCTGTAATGATTATTCTTATAGACATTTAGATAAAGGTTTAAGTAAGAATAAACTGTAAAAACGAGATAAGTATATCCATTATATTACACTTAGGAGTGTTAATAAAGAATTAAAAAAGCTATCTATCTGCTAAAGAATTGTATTTTCTGTGAACAATTTCTAAATCTGAAAAGTCAGTGAAATATAATTGTTAATATAGAAATATAAAAATATCCTGCTACTATTGTGATAAATGAATACTTTATATTTGAAAAAATATAAAAATTTACTAATATGTATATCTTTAACTTTGCTTTGAGACCACTAGACTCTCTCTGTTTCTCTCTTAGTGCCTGTGTTTGTCTGTGTATATACATGTGTTGTGTCGCTTCGTTTTAACATTGGTTTAGAGTTTTTCTGAATGTTTATGAGGATTTAAGTTAATTTATTTTTGTAAAAATAGTGTACTCTTTTGTAATATCATTACCATTGTTCATATCTTCAGCCTGTTTTAGTTCAGTTCATGCACAGTAATCCCATATCAATACCCTCATGATTGTCAGTTATGTCATGCCTTAACTACTCTATCTCTCTAGCTCATTTATTCATCAAGTTCTTTAACAAGGTGTTTTCTAGACAACTTTCCAAACGAGCTGCTCTTTTAGTCATGTGCTTTGGCCATGGTGTGTATGTGTGTGCACTCGCACATATATTTTTGTGTGTGGTAGTTTTATTGCTAGCACATTTTTACTTTTAATTGGAAGTACAAAATCCCTACAATATGAATAACGTATACAAGATATATACTTGTTGCAAAGATAGGTGGTAAATACTAAGTATTTCATATTAGATTTGGATGAGATTTCACTATAATTAGTTTCAATATGTCATAATAGTATTTTGTAAAGTAGATTTTAAATTCCTACTTTTAAATGTTCAAATGAGAAGGGGGACAAAGGATAGGGGACAAGGAAAGGAAAAGGAAAAAGAAGGGACAAGAAAAGAAGAGGAGAGTGGAAGGAAAAAATGGAAACAAAACTTTTATAAATAAGGAGGGGAAAAGGGATTGAAGGGAGGAAAGGGGAGGGGAATGGGAAAAAAGAAGAAACAAGATACGTTGTGTAGAGGCACACATTCCCCATGATGCATGTTACTGTTACGTATCCCTAAAATATAACAAAATTAAAGTATATTTTACAAAAAATAAAAATAAATAGAATCTATAAAAATATTAATTCCTCTTTTTAACAATAGAGGATTAATTTGAAAGGAATCAGAAATCTGACCTCCATAGACTTGTGTGTTACATCTTTAAAAGTTCAGTTGTTCCAGCAAAATCTTTTTGTCAAAGAATTATTGTCACTAACCTTCACTGCTTTGGTTATCTCAATATGTTTTCATTTCAAGGCAGGTATACTTCCTTGGAACCAGTATTGAAAAGAACTAAAAGAATTACTCACATTCCAATTTTTAAGAGCCACTCCTAACTTTTAGTATTTTCTACCTTGTCTCATGAGATTCTCCCTCAAGAGCAATGCACTCTTTTACATTATTCAACCAAACAAAAGCAAAATCATTAGAAGCCTGCCACTGCTCCCATCACCCAGGTGAATGCATGTCTGACTTCAGAGCTTCCCATCATGGTACAGTTGCCAGCATATCCACACCTGGTTTACTACTCAGTGGAAGCAGTTCATGGTCTTTGCTTGGCATTCCACAAATTTGCAAGCCTACAAAGTATATTTCTTTATCTTGCACAGTGGGAACAGTCCCATTGTAACCTTGGGTGTGTTTCCCAGCAGATCAGTGCTAGGAAGCCCACAAACAGCATTTGGTTCCTTCTGAGCTCTTGCATCTGTGTGCTCTTCAGATCCGTGGTGTGTACACTGGTGTGAGATCAATGCTCACCCAGACGTTTCCAGGTAAGCAAAGGACACCAACCACACACAGCACAAAGTGGTCCCAGGAAATGAGATCTACAAAGTTATTTGGTTTTCACAAATAAAATTTTTAGACAATTACATAGTAAAAAATAATATTTTCTAATAGTTAAGTCTTTTGACCTCTCATCATGCAATATTTAAAAACAGAAATTAATATTTTAGAATTTGACAAATAGAAAACCAAATATGCATGAAGAATATAAAGACACGAGATACTATACATGATACCCTTAAACTATATTTACATATATAATAAGTCACTAAATAGTGTTCAAAAATTTCATCTGTATTAACAATGTGTTTAATAATCAATTCTGCAACCCAGCAGTTAGTAGACTGAACTATTTTTACAAATCAAATTAGAACTACAAACATCATCTATAAATAACAAGGAGGTAAAATTTTGATTTTGGAAGGAACAAAAATAACTGGGCAAAGAGAGCTAAAATTTCAAGTTGATTTACATAAAATGCTGTAGGTAGGCGCAGGGCAGTTGAATAGAAAATGCAGAAGCCTGCTAAATTAGGTAATGTAAAATGGCTAGATATTCCACATTCAGGAATAGGAAAGAGTATTAATGATTAGTCATTTAGATGGAGGAAAATTAAAATTTTGAAGAGATTATCAGCCTACATTACTAAAAACTTATGCCCTATACCAAAATTTTAAGCATAAAACAATCCATGATAAGAATAAGCTCATAAGCTCTCTTCCTTAACAGTAATATTAAAAGTATAATTTTCAATGCAGAACATGTGTAATAAATGTTTTGTAAACTATTACAAGCTGTTTTAAAACTTACATTGCCTGTGTAACTCTACAAAAAGAAAAGTTTATACATAAAAATAATAATTAAAATACATGTCAGTCAGTCCATTTTCATCCATTGTTTATCATTGTATAGCTTCTGCAGCCAAGATAATATATACAAAATGTTTCCTTAAATGTGTATCTAAATATAACTTTGTAAATAATAGTATTAAGAAAATATATTCAACTATTTTAAGTCAATTTTCACCTTCATTTCAAGTATGTACTCCTTCAAGATACTAATGTACATGATTTTCTAACATAAATATCCCTTCTTAGACTGTTTTGACTGAGTATTACCAACACTAAAAAAATAGTATTCTAAATACCTAGTAAAGAGGGATTTTTTTTTGGTGATTTGATGAATCAAGGCAATAATTTAAAAAAAAATTAGTTCAACAACTTTGTAGATTTGTAATTTATACTAATCATTACATGAAAGTTAATTTTAAAATAATTCCAAAGGGAAAAAACAAAAAAAAAAGAGATTGTTAAGTAGTGCATACTTCTTTATGGAGAATATAACCTCATGGTACCCTTGCAGGATTCAGTTCATAAGTACATGAGAAAACATTTTCACCTATTTTGTCTTCTTTCATTTCCAAATGAAATAAACACATATATGAGCCATAATTTCCAGACAATGACTGGTAGCTCATTAGCTTAAAGTGTAAATATGTTCAGTCACTCACCAGGGGAGACAGCTATCCAAGAACTCTGTCTATGGCCTCTAGAAGTTTACAGAATAACCCAGACTCTCTAGACCTGAATTTGATGGTTGAATTCTCTCTTGGGTTCTCATCCTGAATTTATGGGTTGGTAAATTTTGTACTCACAGAGCTTCACAAACACATTCACTTCTGGATGGTTTTACCACACTTGATCTCACTAGTTCAGTTCTTCCTTGTTATGTTGTTGTTGTTGTTGTTGTACATATTGTACAATCAAATAGAATCCAAATTAATATACCTTATGTGCATTTTGCCCCAGCTGGTGGGGTAGCCACCAGGCAAGGCTAAAGCTACATGTTTGAATCCTATTGTTTGAATCCACTTTGGTCTCAGGAGAGAGAAACGAAGGCCAGCATGTCCTCTACACCTGTAGCATAACTGAAACATCACAGTTGTGTCAAGTCGGGCCAAGTGTTGGCTGGTTTTCTCTCACAGCAAATGTACCTCAGGATAGTAACTTTGCTCCCCATAACCACTCCCAGATAATAGCTTTTATTCTTTTCCATAAAATTCCTGCCCCTCTGAGGCCCTTCCTACCTAGCTGAACCCTTTTTTCCCTAGGCCTATTGTCCCAAATTTAGGATCATGGTCATTCCACTTGGTCTCTGAGACACTGGTTGTTCCTGTAAGGAGCCCTTCTGCAGCACAAGCATGCAGACGTGGAGGCTCCACCCCTAGGGAGTGACACACAACACAAGCTGACTGATACACCTTTGCCTCCAAGGTCTTTATCCTCCATGCTATTTCCACTATTGTGCCCTTCAGTCATCCCTAAAATGTCAGTAAAATAAGACTGACCAAAAGCAAGAAAAAAGATAAGCACAAAAGTTTAAACTCAAGAAATCCAGCCATAGTGAAAATAAAGATTATTGGCCTCATCATCTTCTGGGCTCTTTCCATAGCTCCAAAAATTTCCAGTCATTCCTGAAATCCATCCACACTGTCTCTGTATGAACTGACTTTCATGAATCTACAAAGAAGAGACCCATTTAATAGTAAACTGGAAAATATGGGATAAGCTACATTAGAAGACAGTGAGTATTTTTTCTCTGACTATAGATTTTGATCTAATTATTAAACAAAACTTTGATACCAAAGATAAATTAAGAAGACAATACATTTGAAATTTATTTGAGTATTACTAAAAATCAACATTACTATAAAAACATTATTTTTAAAAAACAACCAACCTTTTTTTTTCAAGGGAGGTTCCTCTATTTCTCCTAAACCAAGACAAAAATATAAATTAGAATTTTCACATGGCATAATACGGTTTTATTACTTAAACATGTTTTCTTTTATTTAAAAAAAATTTGTTATTTTTGACAATCATAGTTAGTATGTTACATTGCTTCCTTAATTCCAGATGTCAAAGTATAAACTTTGTTCACATACACTTATTTGAGATAGCTTCATTTTTTATGAGTTTAATAAAATTGTGGCAATGGTCCAAATTATACATTATCGGTCATTTATCATATTAATTTCAGTTTCTCCTGTTCATTATGGCTTCTTGTGGCGGCCAAAACAAATATAAATTCAGACAAAGACATAGCAAGGTTCTAAGTAAGAGTTTTCCTGTTAGCCAAGGTTGAATACATAATTTCTGATGACTAGGACAGTCTTAAAAATGTTATTTAAAAAACAGAATAACAGTGCTTTGTTCTTTTCATGCCCATTCAATGGAAGCTTAGGTATAGCTTAAGTTTGATATTTCTTTTTATTCATTAATATAGGAAAGGTTAACTCCATAATTGTATTAGTGTTTAAAATGTATTCTACCATTCTATAATTTCATTTTGTTCAATGAACTTATTCCTCTGATTGTGCCTTTAGTAAGATTGGTTTTACCTATTTGATTCTGAATATGACTGTATATAAAACATTTACAGGTACTTTTAGTTTTATTGGTTTTATTTCAATCTTTTTAGAGATAAACTTGAAATACAGACACTACTTTTTCTTAAGAAGTGTATAAATGTGAGGGTTTATTGTGGGTTTACAGTGTAAATAATAAGACTCACTCTGTTATAATGCCACCCTAATGGTAGCATTTAATTTTGGCATCTTTGTAGTGATGGCAGATAAACTCCAAGTTGAAAACCAAATAGAGACCAATTTACTGCATTTGGAAACTTATTGAAACATTTACAGTACTCGGAAGCGTGCTCATTCTGGGTTAGCCTGACCCAAGTGCTCATTTGGACGAAATCCTAAGCAAGTCCCTGGGACACATCTAATATTGGTGCTAGCAGCTAGAGATGTCACTACACCTCTCTGTACCTTTATCAATGTCCTCTTCCCCATCCTCATCTTCTTCATCGCCTTCAGATGAGATGATGTCAGACAACAACGAGAAGAAACCATAGAACCAGTCTGTAGTTTCCTCGACAGCATCGTGGACTAGTTTTAAAGGGTCTGATCCAATCTTGGCAATAGAACTTGCTGGAAGTAATTAAAAATAAAATACAAAATTCACAATCATCCCCAAAGAACCTCAGAAAATCTGTTTTTCCTGATTTTTATGTGACCATTTCTTGGTTAAAGCTCAGAAATAGAAACAATATCTTGCTAGAGTTTGCATTTGTATTCAATTAGAAAACAGAAGTTACTAGACACACTGTAGTACCAAACATTACAGAATTCATCAGGAAATGATGGCCTTTAAGAAGCTTATGATCAGGACAGGGAAAAAATTAAGAATGAATCAAAATAGCATATGTTTCTATCACTCAGTTTGCAGATAAACCCTGAATTACAGATGCCATGCATGGAAACAATCACAGTGACCCATGTCGAGCTTGGCAGCATCACAGAGCAGGTGACTGTATACATTGTCATGGAGCAGCAACAAGGTCTGCGAGTCAACAAAAGTAGTTACAGTTCAATGAGACTGACAGTCTATTACAGTGTGTGACATATTGGGAAAACTCTGGAAGGCAAATGCAGCTAGATTGACCCTCGTTGGACATTCCAATACCTTAAAAGTTTTTAAATGAACACTTAAGCCTTTAATAATATTAATAGATAAAATAAGAAAAATTGAAACCCACAAATCCTCCATGTCCTAAAAGATAAAAAAAATTTTGTTGAAACAAATACAAGAAAAAAAATACTGACAAAAATGTAAGCATCTAGGAAGATTAGGGATTTCCAAAATGTTGTTCTAATTTTGCGGAAGTTGCTGTGAACAGGCAAGAGCGGTCTTTAAAATCAGATAGAAGAGATGATCTACCTAGGAATAGGGTATAAATTACCCCCCTGATTTTTCATCAATATGTACTTAAATTTTAGAGTTACTTTTTTCCTCATTTTAAAAACTATTATAGATTTTCAGAGAATCCCTCCTGTGGTATATCGAAAATATCAGAATTACACCCATGTATTATATCATCTAAAGGTTAAATACTCCGAAATTAGGCTTTTACTCTGATTGGAATAGGAAATCATTAGAAGGTTTCGGCAGAGGAATGAAGTGATTTGATTCCAGAAGCTTTTTTATTTCTGCAATAAGGATTAAAACAGTGCCAAATTGGAAGCAGGGAGACAGTAAGGAATCAACTGACATAATTCAGAAAACAGATGATGGTGATTTTTACCAAGCCAGTAAGACAGTGTGTGATGAGATGTGGTGTGATCCGGAATGCATTTCAATTATACAAGTAACAGTATCTGTGCTCACTGCAGCAAAATCCAGAATTCCCACCAAGGCTCTAGGTGATAGGAACTAGAAGGATACAAGCTGCACCTACTGAGATGAGAGAAGCCTAGAGAGAAACACTTGTTATTTGGAGGTAGAGTTTGGGGCAGAAGAGTAGCCGAGTTTTACAGTTCTCAAACCCACACTAAGTGGTAGCCTTGTAGGAGAAGCTGTTGCCGTTTGGACAGGTCACTGTGAACAATGGAAGAGAAACTACCTGCAAACAGGAACCCGGAAGTAAACAAAGGACAGAAGGTGTTCAAAGCCATGACAGGGAATGTGATCACCAAAGGAGGAGACTGAGGAATGCTTCAATATTTAGAAGATACAGAAATCAGGGATGTGGAGAGAAACCAGCAATGGATCCTAAGAGGGAGAGATGAGAGGCAGGAGAAGAAGAGAAAGAATCAAGACAGGAATGCGCTAAACTACTTTGAAGATGACCATACACAGTGTGGTGACTACTGTTATTCTCATTGGATTATGAAATTTTGTTTTGTTTTTTCCTAAAATAAAAGGTATATTTAAAAAAGAAATCATTCCAAGAATAGAGTGATCAAATGGGCGGGGTGGTCTTAGGTCACTAAGCTGAAACTTACTGGTGAGGAAGCCATTGGTGGCCTTCAAAGAGCACAGTCAGTGAATGTGTTTTGCTGTATATGATGGAAGCTGAGTGATATTTGTACAGGCACTGGGGCAATAGTTGATATTCTGTTTTAGCATGGTTACAAGGGGAAGAATATGCTTTGGTTTATACTAATGAGTAAAACTGCACAGAGAGAGGAAAACCGATACGAGAGAGCGCATTCCTGAATACATTTTTAGTTTCAGGCTCTGCTCTAAGGGCTGGTGGAGCACACCAATCATTCAGTGACCCTGAGTTATAATCAGTCAGTCCTTACACCCTGTTTTACTGTGTTCCAGAGAGCTTCATGGGAGGAGAAAAGAGTCATCTGAATGGTGAGATTAAACCTCGGAGAAAGGTAATGAAACAGAACTTTATAATTGCATCTGAGAATTTAAAAAGGATTATATGCAAGGACCCGAATTGTATTGGCAGCACTAAGGCACTTTCAGCGCTAATATAGTTTATATCTAGTGCCAGATAACTGCAAATGGGATTTTTACGATTGGAATAGATGGAGACTATTTCCTCCTTCCTCTTCTTCCTAGGCATTAACAGAGAAACTTAACAATAAAATCCAACAAAAAGTTATCAGTTTAATTGTCCTTATGCTTAAACACACTCTGTATACTTAAGACTTGCGTGTGTGTGTGTGTGTGTGTGTGTGTGTAGCCTGGCTCTTAATTAGGGAAATACTGTCAAATCAGACTTTTTTCATGAAGGTAACATTGCTGACTTGATGCAGCTTCTGATTTTCAGGCGCATAAACAACTTCTTTAAAAATCTCAGCACTCACACACGTATTTCAGTAAGCTAGTAGTCCTGAAATTGACTGATATTCCTCTTTCAGAGGTCATGTCCAAACCATATCAACATGAAAATAGTATACAATGCAACTAAAACTTTTCTTGATGCCTTCTTTGAAGAAATACTGAGATAATTATAGTTACTACTTTTGCTTCTGTGAGTCAATACATACATAACTGTGAGGATCATCATAAAATTAATAGCAACCAGGCACCATTCTAAGATATTTACATATATTAATTATCTCACAATAACCCAATAAAGTAGGTAGATTATTTTATTTCTTTTTTAAATATAGAAAAATTGAAACACAAATAATTTTTTTAAATATTCTGTATTTACGGAGCTGGTAAGTTACAGAGTCAGATTTTGGGGTCCTGTTTATGTGCAAGGACTTAACTATTCTATGATATGCTTTCAAACAAACAAAAACATGAATCCACAGTTGGTTCTAAGATAGGATAAGATAGGATCGGCAAATTCTGAGAAGTGATTTCCTGCTCCTAACAATGGGAAGAAGGACTCTTGTTCCAGTGGGAAGATAAAGTCTGCAGCTGCTGCAGTCATTTTGTAACCACAAGGACAGTAGCTCATTGAGGAAGGCAAAGGTTAAAAATGGAAAAAATATATTTGAGTACATGATGACATTGCAGAGGCATTAAATTACATAATCTCGAGATCAGCATGCTCCAGCACTTCTGTTACATGACAAGAAATGGTTCTCAGTATTCAAGTCACTCTTAATTTGGGGGTTTTTTTTGGTACCAGGGATTGAACTCGGGATCTTGTGCTTGCAAGGCAGGCGGCGGCACCACTGAGCTAAATCCCTGGCCCCACATACCTGAGTTTCTAAATGAAACTCTAGATGGGGTATCAAATTTGTCATTTTCCCTGCTTTTCTCATAAAGAACCAAGCCGTCTAGTACTTTGATCATCGATTTTACATTCCTCAAGTTGAACTCTTCATTAAATGTTCTGTATCCCAAGAAACAGAAAATAAAGCTGACAAGCTTGGCCTCCTAGTTCAGACAGAAAACATTCAAGCTCCACTTTCCCACCTAGCGCCATGTGAGCTTCATTGGATTTGGAGATAGAAGGAAAAACAGGTAATAGCAATAGTCTCCTTATTAAAATTTTGATACTTTGTTCTTCACAGATTTTTGCACTAATTTTGAATCTTTAAACATTGCGTTGAAGTATTATTTAATTTCTGAGATCTCTGGTTGCCTCATGTTGTGCACACAGGCAAGGACCCCCTGGCTCTCTGTAGTCTTCTACTCCCCCCAGCTAGCAGCTGCTGGTGCTGTTGAGGAGAGGAACCTTTGCCACCTCTGTGAACTGTGCTCACACCTCTTACCCTAAATAAGACTCCACCCCTCTTGCAGGTTGTGCCTGTGTCCAGCCTTTCTGAACTCCACCTGAGAGTCTGACCAGCTCTGGAAATCAGTGCTAGACAGCAGAAGAACAAATACGGCACTGCTCCAGTTTGCCGCGTAATGAAGCAGCAATGAGAATGACGCTCCTTACGCCGCCCGGTGGTCATGAGTATTGCATGGGAAATCCATCCCAGTCACCCAGCACGGCCCCGGGACGAGCGCGTGCAGCAGCTGATGGTGTGACTCCGGGCTTTTCCTGTATGCTGGACAGGGAGACCGGGGCCTTCCCGCCCTGGGCCCAGTCTGTACGCGTGTCTCTCCAGGGCTTCCGGCCCCACGCAGCCAATGAACCCAGGCTGCCGTAGACACCTGCAGTGAGTCTGCAGCCCTCAAGCAAGAGCTGCCCTGGTACAGGATGAGGGAGGAGAAGGCTGCGCCCAGCCCCGGCCACTTGCCCTAGTCTGCACCAGGCTTGACTCACTGGCATCCCTACAGTGCACCCAAGGCTGAGCAGGACCAAGCACATGGCAGAGAATTATGAGTTTCAGTTTAATGATCATTTATCTTGGACAAGCAGTGCTGCTCCATAAACATGCAGCTATGCATACCACCATGCCACATGAAAGCATGCCACTGCTTTCCCGCATGGGAGCCTGGCAAAGTCCATAGCTCCATGCACTGCTTTCATCAGGGCACATAAAACAACCGATGTTTCCCCGTACCTCTTAGCAAAGCCTCAGCTCTGCATATGAAGATCCAGACTGAGGCGAGGATGTGTTAAGATGCTGTGATGATGCCTCAGCTGAGAGCAATTCAACTGTGCATGGGGCCATGTGTACCTTGCAGATGCAGCATCCGTAAAGAAGCTAACCAAGTTTTTAAAAAAATCTTCTTTGGAGGCAACTGTTAAGCACTAACTGTGTGCACTACCCTAAGT